ATCAGTAATGTTTGCTCTGGGTTTTCCTTTGGTTTATTTTCAAACAGAAGACTTGGGAATCAAGTTGTTTCAAAATCTCATGAGTCAGTGAAAGGTTTCGGTTGCTTATTGGATGATGGTTGGAAGATTTTCAGTGATTTGCAAAAAAAAAAAACAACTGAGAAGTACAAGAGTTAACAAGATGTTTTAATAGGAAGGATTAAAGATGTAGTACCACAACAGAGAGGAGGGTAGTGACTTCAGACCCCCATCCAAAATCTACTTATCAGCTGTCAATTTCCATTGACTTCCATGGGCTTTGAATCAAAACCATATTTTTTATTGAAACAAGTTTCAATTCCTTTCTACAAAGCTCTTCTAACATGTTTAAATGTGTGCATGGTACATCAACCTCCATTCATGGCTAGAGGAGCGAATCATCTCCTGAAAATTACAACAGCCACAAGATCTGGATCTGCCAAATTTTCTCTGAAATCAGTAGGACTGCTAATCCAGTAGGTCCTTCATATAAATAGTAACATCACCAAATCTGACATAGTAAAGGACAAGTTCTACTGCTGAGCAGAGCGTGATCCATCCAGTCCTGCCCAGAGGACACTGAAAGGGTCCCTTGATGAAAACTAATTAACAAAAATAAGCATCTCTGGAGCTAAAATACAGGTGATTGTTCAGCTGGAGTTGCTGCCCTGCAGTAGACTGCTTGGCAGAGACTGCTCCGATCCAGCCTCTCACCTTCCCACCAAACTGTGATGCTCTGGGTAGCACTCCATGCACAGCACGGAGCAGGGCATGCCCAGCTGGTGGAGGAGCAGTGAATGAAGCAGCAGGCTCAAACAGCACACATCACACCACTCAAAATAGTCAGGCACGTCTGAAGGACTGCACCGACCCCAAGGGCCTCATGTTAAACTGTAACAGCAGTTCTGCATACTTACACAGATGCCAGCAGACAAAATGCTGATCTTTGAACAAGCCTCTAGTTAAAAATAAGTTTGATCTTTTGAATTTTTGAGATTTTTTTTAATGACAAAAGTCTAAACCAGGTAGCTCTGACTGGGTGAGGTATTTCTCCCTCCCCTCCCCACCATGGTCTGCTTCTAAATTTAGCTTGGTACAGTGACTTGAAAGTGTTACTCCCAGCTCATCCTTACCCTTGGCAGGGTGCTTGGGGAGGAGATTCACCCCTCATCTCTCCTCACACGATTCAAGGCTGGGATTTCACGCTGACAGAAAAGGGGAAAAGGCTCCTGCTTCCACTCCCCAGGGTTAGTTAGAATCATGCCTGGGGGGACCTCTGCCAAAGCAGCAGGCTCCTTCCTTCAGGTTACCTCCTCAGCATCTCTGAAAAGGCAGAGGCCATGCTCCCAGGCCTGTCATCCCTGATTACTTCCTTCACACTTACTGTGACACGTCTGTTGAGGGAACATCATTACTCTTTAAAGATTTCTTATGTATAATTGAGAAATGCATACACCAGACAGGTGATCTTCACATTCTGAGCCTTTCCATCTACCTGTCTACCTACAGTCACACTGCAGGAATAATGGAATCACAGAATGGTTTGGGTTGGAAGGGGCCAAATATCATCTAGCATCTACCCTCTGCCATGGGGAGGGACACCTTCCACAAGCCCAGGTTGTTCAAAGCTAACCTGGCCTTGAACACCTCCAGTGATGGGGCATCCACAGCTTCTCTGAGCCATTCTGTTCCAGTGCCTCACCATCTTCACAGTGAAAGGTGATGATGAGCTATCAAATGACAGCTGCAAACAACTCTTGCTCTTCTTTAACTAGTGGTACACTATGAACCCAAAAGCTTATGATCCTGAAGAAATTTGGTGAGAGGTGTACATTCGCCTCCTCGCCAATATGGGATTTTTGTTTTTCCTCTGGCAACTCAAGAGGCAACTCTGACCAACAAAGGAAATAAAACTGTGCTGGAACACCTCTGAGCTCTTCTAACCTTCTGGAGAAGTGCCAGCAGCCCTGTGAGGCAGCAGACAGCAGCACCTGTCCTGGGAAGATGCCCACATTTTGTGGCAATGCGCAGCTCCCCAGGATGCATTCCCTGAGCCACTGCCTTGGGTGCACTCATGGCTGCAGGTCCCATGGACCCTCCAGGAGCCAGGAAAGGGTGCAGGAGGGTATGAGTTCCCTGTGGCCCAAGCTGCAGACTGTGAGGCCTCCAACAAGTAAAACAAATTCCTCTAGGAAGAGCAAAGCTGATAGGCAAGAAAGTGCAGCTGGGTTATTCGGCTTAAGAGGACCGAGGCACATGAGCCAAGCAGCACCTCAAAGGAGTGGGATCATGCTATCAAGCTCTCAGATGTACGGATACCTAGGATGGTTTTGGGATGCCATCTCTGAGGTTATCTGGAAATTGTCCTTTATTCTCTCCAGTTTTCTATTCCATTAATCTGTTTCAGCAATATCCAACCTCCTGCCTCTGACAATGCTGTGAGTTTGTCCTGAGCACACACTCCCTCTCCTGTCCCCACAGTTACACACCCACTGTGTAACCTCTCTCCTCGTTTCCATTCACTGGGCACTGCTCTTCCCTTTTCCAATTTAAGCCTGAGCCTGTTTGCACTCTCTCTCTCTCTCCAGCTAGTGATAGCACCATTCACCTCCTTCAAAATCTTTGTTCTGCAGTTTTTCAGTCCAGATCATCTCCCTCCTGCTTCAGGGATTTCTCCAGAGCCCCCTCTGCTCCTGTCAGGTCTTGTCTTTTCTGCCCTATCAAGAAAACTACTCCTGCTGCTTATGGACCTCAGCCTCTGCTCCCGATGCCAAATGGGTTGACACAGCAGTGTGAGCTCTTGCACAGCTCCACCCAGACCTATCACCCTGCAGCAGACTTATCACCTGGCACTGTCAATGTAGAAGGAGCTATGAGTTATGAGCTGCAATGAAGATAAATTCCTCACCTGTGGCTTGCACTTTTCATTTCCCAGCCCTGCAGAATGTGACTGCTGCAACCTGTCTGTAACAGCACAAACCCTGTGTGGTTCCTTGGCAGTACATCACCGTTTTGAATGATGCAAGGCAGAAAGCCCCTGGAACATCCTTTACCTCTGTGGTCACTGCTATAAGGAGGCTCAGATGTGTGGGAACATCCCACACCATGACAGTCAGGCTGCAGGAAAAGCCCCTGAGTAGCTCACAAGTAGCCATGGGGACTCAACAGGTGCCTGGGGATTAGAAGTCCCTGTCTAGATGCTCTCACCTGGGGGGTAGAGTAAATGACAGGGGCAAGGCAAGCAAAATGCTTCCCTGTGGCATGTAACTGAAAGATGGCAAAGATCAACCTTCCTCTACCTTTTAAGGTAAAGACATAGAGATAACACTGTCCAGTCAGATGATTGCGCACTAAATACTTTTCAGTGAGCATTTAGGTGATGATATAATCCTAGCAGCTCAAAATGTGTGTTTGAAATGCATTACAGGAGGCACTGTGGTAGTCTTAAGACGCAGTTATGCTGGTTTTTAAAACGAAATTGTTCTTAAATTGTCCAAGTTCAAAGTGCAGAGAATGACATATTTGTAGCATTTTGTAGCTCTTGCAACATGCTCCCCTCACAGATTAGATTCAGGTGAGTAAAAAAAAATGCTCAGAAGTGCTCCACCCTTGCTCCCTTAATAGTCCTTCGCTGAGACCTTAAAAAGTAATGGTCTGGTAGGGAGCAGTGGATGTAACTGTGCCTTTTCCTACTTACAGAGCCCAAAACTGCTGTAGCAGTGTGGTGACCGGTGCTATCGAACCCATCAAACCATATGGGAGCTAAGCCAGAGATTGCCAATTCCCAGGAAAGAAGGGAAAACCTCTCACGTTCACATGGTCCATGGCTCAGTTACCAGAAAAGCCGATTAAACAAGTAACGCCTTCAAAGTTGAGCTGCCCAGGGTTACTTGTGGTAAATTAAGTCCCTCGTTAGAAGCCGAGCCGGGCCGGAGGAAGGCTGCCTTTTGCAGCTTCACTTCCACCCTCTGTGCCCCGACAGCGCGCCCGGGCTCGGAAGCC